GGGATGGGAAGGGGAAACAAAGGAGGAGGCAACAATGCTTGATAAGAAATGTACTCATTACCTTGCCCATGTAATTGTAACCCCTCTGTTCGGTATTTTCACAATTAAAAAAAATAAAGGCATAAACTATGCTTCTAGTTTGACCAAACGAGGCAATCCTAAAATATAGTGTGTTAGGAAGAATGCTGGACTACGTGTCAGGAAGTCTATGTTTAAATTCTATTTTAGTTTCTACTTTTCACCCTTAAGATACCATTGAAGATACAGGTACTAATAGTTTTATACACTAACTTTATAAGCAAGTTCCTCGGTCTCTCTGGACTTATACCTTCATTTCGCAATATGGGGATGGAGTACATTTAGAGAGAGGTTGAAAAATGTGCTCTGTGAGCAAAACTTTTCCAGTGCCCTGTTTAGGAGAATAAAGTTTTCTAGGCACACAGTTGTGCTCTTTGTGTGTCCATAATCTTTGGTTGTGTGATAGCTACAGCTACCGAGTTCAGCAGTGGTAGTCATGATGCTGTGGCTGATATAAGCCACTACTTGGCCCTGAAGAAAAAGTTTGACAGACCCTGGACTAAAAGAAGATCAATTTACACAAATAAAATTTTTTTTTAAAAAAAGAAGATCAATTTTCCTCATGGCTATGGGCCTCTCACAATTCCAAGAGTGACTTTTACAGAGAAATGGCAGGCTGCATCTTTTCGTTATGGTTTGAAGATCCTAGGACAATTACCTTTTCAGCCCCTCTTTTAGCTCTAGATTCTGCTTTTTCTTTGGCTTCCTGCAAGCTGTAAGAGAGAAATAGGAGAGAATCATTTTTAGAAATATTGAATATTACCTTTTATTTTTCCTTGATGGTACTGGGATTTGAACTCAAGGTCTTGTACTTGTTAGGCAACACTCAACCACTTGAGCCATGCCTTCTGCCCTTGGCTGGTTATTTTAAAGATAAAGTCTAGTAAGCTTTTCTGCACATGCCAACCTAGAAACTCAATTCTGATTTCAGCATCCTGAATATTTAGAATTATAGGCATGGGCCACCATTGCCCAGCTCAATGCATATTTTCTTAAAGGAAAAATCTTTCTAGGTACAACTATTCCATTACTTCTATACCATTACTACTGCTTAGAAATTCAATGGTAAGTACAACCCCCCCAAAGGATTGTTCTTGTTTTTAATGTTGCTTAGAAAACAAGACACATAACAATGGCAAAAGAGTAAATACATTTTTCATATTACAAATTTTTTTGGGGGGCGGGAATCAAGATTTTCGTCTTTTTCCCCAGAAAGTATCGCATCTCAGGTATGATTGGATATTGACACATCCTGCTACTTCTTAACATCCAATGGTTAGAGTTTTGCATTAGTCATGACTGTGTCCTAATATGCACAGACCATCAAAGGCTGAGTCTTTATATGGCACTCACTGTAAGGGAAATAGTTCTTAGCATAGTGGTCCTTCTTCCGTGGTGCTTCCAGGACCTTTCTCATGGAAGCACTAGAAAGAAATGTACTTCACATGTGGTTTTATTAAAATAGATTCCCAAGCTCAATGCAAAGAAAGTTTGGCTACATTATCTTCCTCAGTCTCATCATTTCAATACCATCCTTCTCCCCACACAAGGCATTCCTTTAGACTCAGGGGCAGTGGCTCCAGCTCTACTCACAAGAATGCTTCACACATGGAACAGGTGTTACCGTGGATCTTCCCATCCAGACCTTCAATAGGGTCATTCTCTCTGGTACAAGGGAGCCGTCCATTCCTCACATGGCGACGGTACTCACTGCACAACTCCTACCAAAGTAAGGAGGATTCATGAAAAAAATGACTAAAAATTAAGTATAATCAATAAATAACTCATTTAGCTATTAATACATGAACAATAAAGCTCCCTTTGCAATACCTCCTGCAAAACTTGGAAAGCCCTTAGTCTAAGCCACTGAATTGGCACACCAAAGGAAAAAAAAGTAAAAAGAAAAAAATGAAAGAGAGAGGGAAAGAAGGAAGAATGAGAAAGAAAACGTCCAATGAATATGTTATTCTGAGTCAGGGAAAATGTGAAAAATTCAAAGGATAAATGATCATCTCTTAAAATGGTGAAGGATTTGTGGTATGTAGAACAGTAGCTTTTGTTCCCAACACTATTTTCAAGTCATAAACCTGAGACCTGAGAATGTATTAACTAACATGGTAGAATGGCTTTTACAGATGTGACCAAGTTAAGGACCTTAAGATGGAAAGAGTATCCTGGATCTTCTTAAGAGGCTCAGTGCAATCACCATACTTAAACTGCTCGAATTGAGAGACAGTAAAGAATGAGTGAGGACTCCAGAAGAATAGGCAGGAAGTGCATCAAGGCTAGCTGGAGAGGGAGCATGGAGTCCAAGTGTCGTGAAACATGGATGGCTCCCTAGAAGCAGGAGAAGCCAGAGATGGATTCTTTCTTGGATACTCCAGAGAGGAATATAACCCTGCCAAACCTTTGCTCTTATCCTGGGATCCTTGTCACAATGTCTAACCTACAAAACCAAAGATAGTAAGTATACATTGGTAAAAGTCACCAAGTTATGATCATTAGTTACAGCAGCCAAAGAAAACTAGTATAGAGTTTAATATTCTTGGAGCAAATATAGAGAAGTAACTACTACATGTTAAAATAAAACATATCTATGGTAGTCCAAGCTACTCAGGAGGCTGAGATCTGAGGCTTGTACTTTAAAGCCAGCCAGGGGAGAGAAGTCTAAAGACTCTTATCTCCAATTAATCACCAAAAATCCAGAAGTGAAGGTGTAGTTCAAGTTGTAGAGTGCTAGCCTTGAGCAAAAATGCTCAGGAATAGTAGCACCCAGGCCCTGAATTCAAGCCCCAGTATCATCACAAAAATAAAACAATAAATAAATATCTGAAATTTTAAAACATTGGCATATCAAAGTTACTAAGCATACGATACAAATTTGGAAAAACTGTAGGGAGTAGCTAATACTCATTTTGGACCATAGTAAGTGGACATGTCTTTGATAGAGCAAGCTTTATCCAATGTGACACATCCTGTTGATAACAATGACATTTAATAGATAACAGTATTAATAATATTAGTAAGAAATATGTAATAATAGTAATAAATATATAGAATAATAAATAGTAATAATTACATGGAAGGCAACATATGATAGACCAATGCTGGTTTGTATTTTTTTTTGTCAGTCATGGGGCTTGAACTCTGGGCTTGGACCCTGTTCCTGCGCTCTTCAGCTCATGGCAAGTGCTCTACTGCTTGAGCCACAGCACCACTTCTGGCTTTCTATTGGTTTATTAGAGATAAGAGTCTCACGAACTTTCCTACCTGGGCTGGCTTTGAACTGCAATCCTCAGATCTCAGCCTCCTGAGTAGCTAAAATTAAAGGTGTGAGCCACCGACGCCCTGCTGACCATTGCTGCTATACACAAAGAAATCTCTTGGTACTTAATAAGAAAATAATACAAGCAATAATAATGTACTTATTTTAGAAATTAAGGAAACACCTAAGACACATGATGCTATGTGTTTACTTTATTGTCATGATGATTGAGACAAGACTAGAACCATGCCAGTATGACTCTAGATCCAGCTTTTTAACCATGCAATTATATTGAAGTAAGGAGGTCAGGTCTGGCCAGCACCATATTGGCCACATGGTTGATGGTTGGGTCTGGCATCTTGTCTTCATGCTGGGGGAAGGAAATGCCTCCATCCATCACCTGCCTCCCAGGTAATGGGCATGCCCAGATCTCTGGAGGCAGGGGCAGGCACTTGGCTGATAGGATACTGAATCTGTCAGTCCAGTGCCTGGGACTGGGAATTTCCTGTGGACTGTCCCCTGCTTGGACCCTATTTAGTCCCAGACCAGCCCAGACACCATTATGCCATGCTGTGTGTGTGTGTCTCTGTGACTGTGTCCTGTATCCTGGTTTGTATCCATGGCATCCCAATTCAGCTCTCCATTGGAGCTGAGTTGGTTTGTTGGTATTATTTTTGTTCTTTCTTTCCTTTCTGGCCTGTTTCCTAGCTTTGTTATGTGTATTTGGAGGCTGCAGGCCTTTGTAACAATTGTCTACTTGCAGCCTACTAACTGTGTAATAAAGTCATCTTCCAAAATGTGGCTTCTGGAATAATTCACTTTAACAATATAATCCACAAGACAAGGAGACATGAACCATTTCCTGGCATGTCCAAGAAACAAGAAGATGGCTAATGTGACTGATGAGAATAACTCTTCAGCATTAGGAAATGAGGCATGAGCCGTGGCAGATGATGTACAGAGGATGTTGGCATTGTAACCCACTGGAAGGGCCTTAGCTCTTACTCTGGGTGTGATGAGAAGCCAGTAGGTGACAGGCCCTGCTTTATGCTGCGAAGTAATTATTGATATTTAAGAGAGTCAGTAGCTATAAGTAGCTATGAGGGAACAAAGAACAGAGAGCCATATAAGTGGGATTTTCCAAATTGAGATTAATAAAGGAAAGGAATATAAGAAAACCTGAGACACGCCTTGAACAAGTATTGACTGAAGAGTGAATGGATCTAATAAGAAAGTAAGTCTTTATAGATATAAAGATCGGAATACACTTGCTCAATCTATAGTCACTGAAAATCCTGAGATTAGGAGAGGGGAGAAGGAAATTCTCCTTAGGAGAATGAGCACTGAGTGCTCACATGGCTCTGCTGATTTAAAACAAATACCTGGACTGCTTCTCTCTTAACCTTTTCAGTCTCAGCTTTCTCCTTTTCTTCTTTCTCATTAGTTTTCTTCTCTTCTTCCTCCAGTTGGCTGTAATAGAAGGTACAAGCTGAGCACATTCACTGACTTTTATAGAATGTTTCAAGAATGAGTAATGATTTTCCAAATCTAGGATTGGAAGAGCTCAGGAAAGAAATACATAGCCATACCAAGAAATAGTATTACTTTGGTAATGTGTAGATTATTCAGTTGTATATCCCCTCCCAAAGAACAATAATAATGAACTAGGCATGCATTTTTAAAATCAGTATAAGGCCTTTTAATTTGTATGAAGCCTTTCTAAATCAGTGTGAAGTTTTCTTAAAAAGCCACAATTGGCCGGGTGCTGGTGGATCACGCCTGCCATCCTAGCTACTCAAGAGGCTGAGTTTTGAGGATCGCAGTTCAAAGCCAGCCTGGGCAAGACAGTCCGTGAGACTCTTATCTCCAATTAACTACCAGAAAACTGAAAGTGGCACTGTGGCTCAAGTGGTAAAGTGCTAGCCCTGAGTTCGCTCAGGGACAGCGCCCAGGCCCAGAGTTCAAGCCCCATGACTGACAAAAAATAAAAATAAAAAACCCAAAACAAACAATTGTCTTGAGTTTTGAAAAATTGTGAAACTTTTGATATTCAAATGAGTACTACTGTTTACCATGAACGAAGTGTGATGCCAAGTTAATTCGTGGCTATGTAAACGATGTTTCAAAATAAATAGTTCAACTGTAATTTTAGTGGAACTAATTTGCATATTAAAACTCAAGTTTTGGGTTACAATAATGATTTGATTCCAGAAGACTAAACAGCTTATTTTTGAGGTTAATTACAAGCCTAGCATTCTTGTATTCTAGCCAACGTGTGTGTGTGTGTGTGTGTGTGTGTGTGTGTGTGTGTGTGTTGGTATTGGGGTTTGAGCTCAGGGACTGGGCATTGTCTCTTAGCTTTTCCCTGTAGGCTGGTGCTCTACCACTTGAGCTTATTCTTGTTGCTAGCTAGTTGGAGATAGAGTCTTACCAGCATTCCCTCTCTGGGTTGGCTTTAAACCTGATCTTCAGATCTCAGCCTCTTGAGTAGTTAGAATTACAGGTATGAGCTTCAGCTAGTGAACTTTTGTGAGCCAGCCCAAGCTGGCTCCAAATCCTGCTGCCTCAGCCTCCTAAGTGTTGGGATTACAGACAAGTAAATGCTCATGCGCTGCCTCATTTTTGACATTTTCTACTGGTGTGTATTATATCAAAAATCTTTAGCATTTGCTAAATCAACTCATTGCAACAATCCCAGAAAGTTGAGGAAATGAGAGAAAAACCCGATCTCAGGCCACTATTTGAATACCCTGCTCTGTCAATCTCTACTTTTAAGGAATGGTATGCTTTACAAAGCTATAAGTTGAGTGTTGTTTTCAGTATTTATTTTAGGGCTGATGTCAGGAAGAAATTCAAAAGCTAATGAAGCATGAGAATTTGAGGTGGAAACATGTAACCTCTGTCTTATCTCTCATAGAGTTCTGGTCTTAAGATTACCACAGCACTTGGCAAAATAAAGATCTAGAATTTCTTAATGTGGTTTAGCAGGAAGACATTTGAGAAACATCTAATATATAAGTCTGCTTCTTAGGGAGTTTATTCTATGGTAAACCACTTACTAAAACATGAATCACCTGCACAGAGTAACGTCCCTGAAACAAATGAAATCATCTACATTCCTCTTTTTGTTCAAGTTATTTTAACAATATTTATATATTATACCCATATCTGAATATACTCAGAGTAATAAAATATTAGAATTAGAAGAGAGCTCAAAGAGAACTCATGATCCCGACAATGATACTTTTGCTTTCTTTGTAATATATAAACGAAGACTAACAAATATTAAAAAACATTTTGTAGGAAGTTGAGTCTTTACCCTTGACATAATTAAAAGCTAGAATTATAACTGGATAAGAGTAAAACTATATGATTCAATATTACTTACGGTCTTGTCCACCTACTTTTAAGATTTTCTAGCATAAACCTATGGTTAATATATTCTATATAGGTATGAAGAATTTTAGATCCAGAAGTGAATAAGGATGAGGACATACAATGAAAGAGCTGGACTGTGTACTTACAACAGGCTCTCACACATGGCACACTTGTTCACGTGCATTTTCCCATCGGGACCAGGAACAGGATCATTCTCCCTGGTGCATATGAACCTTCCTTCCCTGACTTGGTCCCGGAATTCACTGCAGGTTTCCTAGAATATGAGGAAGATGCATTTGCAGCACAGTTTTCTACCTACCCTGAATTTTAAATATGTTAAGGAGTATGTAAACTACAACGGAGGAAGATTGAAAAGTGATGACATGCAGTAGGCTCAGTAAGTAGTTATGAAGCTCCTGCCATGAACTCAGAATCTTCCTGGGCCATTGAAGATCTATGTATCAGCATTGTTCTACCAAGTGTACTTAGAGTTGAGGTGCAGAGTTCGGCGGACAACATTGTTGGAGACCAGTGGGAAACATTTATGTTTGTATTTTGTTATAGAATGTAGTCTCTAAAAGCTATGGGCGATCTCAGCTTCAGAGCTTCAGTATACCTAGAGAAGGTTTTCTAAAGAAACTGAGAAAACTTGTCTTTAGTAGGCTAAGAAAGAAGAGGAAAACTGTGCTCAAACTATGGAATAAAGACACAGCTGACAGAACAAGTGTGATCTCTGAAGAAAACCCATCCAGGGTGAGGGATGTGGACTTTAGCCTGGAAAATCCAATACCAGTGCCAGATGGAAGAAGAGGTTAGGACATTTGAAAGATTTTGGAGGAGGTGGCAACTGATCACATATAATGAATGAAACAAATGTTCATTTCCAAGTTGTTAATTAAAACACAGTTCCAGCTAATGAAAACATAGTTATTTAAAAATGAGCCAGAAAGATTTAAGCCATATCTACTCTTCTCAAATAAGGGCTAAGTTTGTACCTTCCTAGGTACTGGGAAAGAAAATAGAAAAAATAAAGGTAAATCTGTGTTTGGCTATTGTCCAATATAATCCAGCCTTTACACATGAATAAATCAGAGTTTGCTACCTGTAAAATGACAAAATTTATAAAAGCCAGGAAGATTGACTAAAAGTCAAGGCTGAGACCAAGAAAGCTAGTACTCCCTCCCTACCTGGGTGGGGACAAAGATTAAATACGATAATATAGTTGCATATTGTTTTGTTAATAGAAGACTTAGAATCTAGGACTTCCTCGTGTGAAGTAACAGCTATAAACAATGCAAATTAAAATTTAGCCAACTGCACAAGTTAAATTTTATAACCTAAGCCTAATGAAAGAAATCTGATAGAAGTAAACTATGTCATACATCCCTTATAAGGAGTAAACATTTCAGTTTAAAACAAACATTAAATGAGCCTTGAAATTGAGCCATCATGAAATCAAACTAGTAATCCAGAAACATCTAATTAAGACCCTGTTTTCAGGTTAAAAGTTTTATTCTTCTCTACTGTCTTCTGAGACAGAATGTCAAGTGACACTCTTGCTTCAGCCTAGGGAGTAGCTGAGAATGCAGGTGGCTATTGATGTTAAAACTCTTTGAATTCCTTCTCTACATGAAGTTGAGACAGAAAACATACATGCTAATAGGGCCACTACATTGTTAAAGTAAAAAAAAGTGTGAGGACCTACTGTTAACATTTCTGGTAAAATTACCTTTGCAGTTTCTCTCTTAGCTTTTGCTTTTGCTCTTTCTTCTTGCTTACTACAAGGAGTAGAAATAAAACAAGAAAGAAAAATAGATCTTAGTTCAACAGAGCTCACTCTTCACATCCATGAAGTGATCATTCTGTGCTTAGGCTATGCTCAAGTAACTCCAAATATTCACATGTACTATTTGTCATATTATTAGAGAATTAACTAGAATGTATCATCTCATTTCAACAGCAAGTCAGTTCATTAGAAAGCACGCTTATGTAACTTCCAGCTCATCTACTGCAGTAATAGTTTGTTACTGATTCTTTTGCTCTGTGAATTTTTTTTTTTACATTGGGGCTTGAACACAGGACCTTGTGTTTTCTAGGCAGATGCTCTACTACTTACTACTTCAGCCATACCCTAGTTCTCTTTACCCCCTTTTTAGTTTAGCTATTTTTAGCTAAAGTTTCCTGCTTTTTGCCCAGTCCTGGAATGAAGACTGTGACCTCCTTTCAATATCTCCCACAAAGCTAAGATAGCAGGTGTAACATACATACATAGCTTATTTAGATAATTTTATGCTTATGCTGACCTAGAATCATAATTCTCCCAATCTGTGCCTCCCCAAAAGCTAAGATTACAGGTATATACCACCATACCTGGCCTCTTTGACACTTTTTAATAAAATGTAGTATTTGACTTCTGGTCAAAATTCAAAAATGGCAATTGGGAGAAAACTCTTTGGTGCAATTTTTTTTTTAAGGAAAACTAGAAGGGACTGACATTCTTTATGTCTTCCTTGTCTTTAAGGAGAAGGCTTGTGGCTGGAGAAGAGGTAATAAAAATACATCTCTTACAGAAAAATTTAGAACCATTAACTGAATTGCTGCATATGAATCAGTTATGCACATCACAAAGTGATTGGTAGAATGGATGATAATTGATATCATCATCATCGTCGTCATCATCATCATCATCATTGTAAGCAAATATTCTAAAAATTAATTCATGAGAAAAGTTAATTGAGAGTGATCGGACTACACTTTTAGATAACTAACAATTTTGCCATTGAGTTTAATGGCCTGAACCTACAACATAATTGGACACATGACACATTTAATTTAATCATGTTGGTGAAAAAAATTACATAATGTGTGAAAATGCTTTAATGTATGCCAATCAATCTTAATTGAGTCTTCAATCAAGCTAAGACAATTTGAAGCAGAACAAACTGTTTCTATGTTGTACAGAAGTCTGCACCAATTAACTAGGGAGGAAAGAAAGCTTCTCAAGGAGTTCAGTAGCTTTGGTTACAACATAGGACAATACAAGTTATTTTTATGAATAATTTTAAAGTTTTTACAGAAACCTATTAAATATATTGTGGGGGAGGGTAGGCTCATGCTTATTTCTGTGAAAAAATGATAGAAACATTGGCACCAATCTAAGTCAATTTCAATGTTTAATAACGTGTTTTCTTTTCCTAATGGGAAATTATCCAAGGAGGCTGCAGAATTGACCACTAGGTGGCATTCCAAAACAGTCCTAAATATAGACATCTACTTGTAATCCATGAAAGCCTTGAAAATGGCTGTCTCCGGCCTGTGAGAAACACATTAGATACATGATGACTTTCCCACTCTTCTCAACTTCTCTGGGGTTTAGTTTTATATCCATAATTTGTGACAATACAGAACTGATTTCATGTGACTGTGGTAAAGATTAAATGAGACTAAGTAACAAAGGTCTTCAGCCTACTCTATGTACTAAATAAGTGTTGGTTATGGTAATTATGGTCATTATTTTAACTTTATTTTTAACTTCAATCAAATGCATTTTTAGTGTTCCATGATCCAAACTCTCTGAGAGAAATCTGCTGAAGATAGAATAATTCATTCTTTTCAGAGATATTGCTTTCACAATAGAAAATACACTGGGATTGTTTTTGGTTAAAAATAAACAGAGTTTAGAAAAGTAAAAAAAAAATCTCTTACTGGAGGGGATGTACTATTTCATTGATTTAAAAATCATACTTTAAGTTCCCTGTGAGTGGGCATGCAGCTCCTAAACTTATTTTTGAGTCTGTCCCTACACTATTACAGAGTTAACTCCTTCTTCCTACTGAGGCCATGTATTTCTACCTCTGAGGCACCTTAATTTTATTCCTTAAATTCACATCAAAAGAGTACAAAGAAAATAGTGAACTGAAAAAGAAAATCTGGATAAACTGGATAAAATTACAATGACATTCTAAATAGGATCTCATTACCTCCCATTCTGGGTGAAAGATGCAAGATTAGTTCTAAAATGTCATAGAAGAAAATTTTCTCTCTGTTTCTAGATCTATTAGAAACACTTCTGATTGTCAAATCATAATCATATATAGGTAAGAGACAATGTTTTTATATGTATTCATCATTCAATGATTAAACTAGTCTAATGAACATAGTCACCTTCCATATGTACTAATAATTTTTTATGATGAGAACATTTAGAATATACACTTTAAGAAATTTTGCAATATGCTATACTTATCCATTTTTTATGATGAGAACGTTTAAAATATATACTTTAAGAAATTTTGCAATAATGACATATTATGAACCATTGTGTCCAGCTTGTGCCCTGATTCTCAAAATCTTATTCATCTTCACTGAAAAATTAATCCATTAATCAACATCTCTGTATTCATTGCTTCCGCTCCTCCCCCCACAGATTTCACATCTGTGAGTTCGACTTCTTGAAACTTCACTTGTAAGTAGAATCAGGGATTAGGATTTTTCTCTGTAATGCTTACTCTGCATCTCTTCATTCCAGAGTAATTATACTCTGATAGTTTTCCATTTGTTTTTGAAGCTGTTTGTTTCTTAGTCTACTTCATTGTAACTCTCAAAATGCAATTGATGAGGAAAACTAATGATCATCTCATCTCTCTCCATTTACAAAAAATATTCCTAAAAGCAAAACTTCTTGGGGAAATTCCTGTGCCCCAGCTCCCTAAGCAGCCCAGGTTTGTGGCTCCACTCACAAGAAGGCATCACACATGGAGCAGGTGTTCCCATGCATCTTCCCATCTGGGCCCTGGACGGGGTCATTTTCTCTGGTGCAAACCAGTTGTCCATTCCTTCTTGAATTGCGGTACCCACTACAGAGTTCCTAGAAAACCAAGAAGGGAAGCAGAGGTGTTGAACATAGGCTGGATCAGACTGGAAAAAAAATATCTAAAATTTAGACTTCAACTGGCCTATCTTAGAACAGTTCTTTCCTTGGAAAGCACGGGCATTTCAAAGGCTAAAAATCAGTGAAGAAAGAAATAATACCTAGGAACCTGTGTGTATGCACACATGCTAATACACACCAAAACACGCACTTCATAGAAATACTTCATGGAATTTACATGTTTTCCAAACATTATTCATGAAACCCTAAAGTCCTAAGCTTCTGATTTACTACCTAGACAAAGTGTCCTTACCTCAAAGGAAGTTGTACTTTTAGACTGTCTTTTATTTCTTGATTCACTTTCTTTCTTTTTCTTTGCTTCTTCTTCCACTTGACTATATGAGAATGGTTAGACAAAGACATGAGAAATAAGTATAGAATTAAGTAGAAATAAGTATAGAAATAAGTATAGAATTGGGAGTGATCTCAGATATTACTTAATTATTATGGTTAATATTTATTAACTTCTACTATATGTCCTATGTTGGGCTCATACTATGAAATGATTACAACAGAACATAATAAAATTCTCTCTATTTACCAATGAGAAATCTGATAGAACCCATAACCTATCCGAGGGCAAATAGCTAGGAAGTGTAAGTGAGGGATTTTGAGTTCTTTTTAAAACCTTCCAATGCACACTACTTATCTATGATGAATACTTAGTCTGATTTATCTGCTAGTAAATTCTCTACCTGTATCAGGCTTGTCACTCAATGGAAAGTCACCCAACTATCAAGTTGGTCTTCTTAAAACTGAGCAGAACCAGTCCTGCAGAACTTCTACTCATTGACTCAATGAGTCAATGGAGAAAACATAACAATAATCTAGCTTCCCCACATTTAAAAATAAAAATGACTTGGGTATTTGAAGATAGACTCTAAATGTGACCCTATCTTAACCATCTTCAAAGGATATGATTTTTATACCTTTCTCTAATCAAGCAGGTTCTCTACATATGCTTGTTTTCATTTCTGTGGTTCAAGGGGCCATCTACAAACTGAACATATGAATGAAAAAGAAAGGACAAATGCCTCCTTTGCCTGCATAGTCGTAGCTCTACTCACAAGAAGGCCTCACACATGGAGCAGGTGTTGCCATGCATCTTCCCATCTGGGCCCAGGATAGGGTCGTTCTCTCTGGTGCAAGGAAGTTTTCCGTTCCTCACTATCCGGCGGTATTCATGGCAAAGCTCCTACCAGAGTAGGGAAAGGAAGATGAACGTTTATTTATTTCTGATCAGAGCACAAGATTCAGCCCTCTACATTTGCAGAATTTCATATTATGCTTTTTTGTGAAAGCAGTTGTTTGCCTATGTTTCTCTTAATGTAAAATTCAATACTGGAAACAAACCCTTTGTTAAGAAATGGAAATCAATAAGACATAATAAAATGTCACAAATATAAAAGAAGAGGAATTCCAGCACAATCTGAACAGAATGAAATCAATACAGACATGTATGAACATGAAAAACTGACAACTCAAAGATCAGGACTGTTAAATCTGACTGTGAAAACTAGGAAGATATCAAGTATTATTTAACATCAAAAGGATTTGTTTCTGAGGAGAACAAGAAAACCTGGATTTGGGACTATGTACACTTGGCTGAAAATAAGTTGAGAGACTCAGGTAAGAAACTTTATATATAGGATACAGCAGGACCTGAATTTCTAAGTGAAATAGGAAATTAAGAAATGTTCTATAGTTGATAGAGAGCTACCCATCATGATGTTAGTGGAATTAAGGGATTTATTTTTATATCTCAATTCAGATACAAAATATACAAATGGAAAGAATACAGGTTTTTCTGTAAAGTAGTTAGCAAACTACTGTGTTGTAGAATTCACTGAATAAACTCAACTCACTGCATATGAAGGCGTTTTCCCAGATCCTCTTTTGTTTCTTGCTTGGGCTTCCATCTTTTTCTTTTCTTCAGCTTCTGCTATGCTGAATATAGAAGAAGAAAAGCATCCACTTGTTCCATTCAGGTCTTTAACTTCTCCAAATCCCTACAATGCAAATCTGTCCTTAAAGAGAAAGATCTTAATCTCATTTTTTACTATGTATCAATGAGAAGCAAATAGCCTATAGTATGGTCTGATACCATGACTTCTTCATAATTTTTGCTTAATATTGAAAGAAAGATGGTGACAATAGGTTTTGAGAACTTACTTTCTTTAAGTTATTTTTCTTTCCTATGATGACAAAAAGGTGATCAGTGTACAAAGAAGGTATCAAAACTGGAACCAGGAACATAACTGGAAACTGGCCTTAACAAAGTACTGTGATGGGACTCCTTGTTTCTCAGATAGGATGAGAAACAGAGAGGCCCTAGGCCTAATCTCAGGATACGACCACAGCCACAGTCTCTTCCCTGGTCTATCTTCTACATCATGTATACTCTAGCTTTAATATATATTTAAATGTATTGTTCATCTATGGCTGTCTTATCTAAAATCTACCTAAAATGATAGAATGGATGGGTAGAAGCCAAAAATTTCTATACACTAATAAAATATAAACTTACAATTGTTTTGTGATGAAATTGTATAGTAGCTATAGTTAACTGATGTTATTTCAACCATCTATGATAACAAACAAATTAAAAGACAAATATAACATTTTGCATTCGAGGTATAGTCAAAAATTTAATGTTCAGCCTCATAAAGTGAAAGCTATTTTAAATTGTGAAACAAAGTCATTAACTCTAACTTATTGGGAAATGTCACAGTGTTTAAGACTTGCTAGTTTTTATAGACACTTATGGTTATTTCTTGGGCAATTTAGCTTATCAGTCTCTGGGCTTAGTGCAATTGGTCTGTACCCTCATGAGAGATGAAATGCCTACAAACTGCTAAAGTAAGTACACATATTCAGCTGGAGCAATGAAGGAAAAGTAGTATTTGCACATTTTTAAAAATTTGTCAGGAGGTTCCAATGCTATGAGAATTCATAGAAATAAGAATGGCCAATAGACACATGAAGAAATGCTCAACTTCTCTAACCATAAAAGAAATGCAAATCAGGACAACATTGAGATTCCTCCTCACCCCAGTTACAATTGCAAAAAATCAAGAACTCTAAAACAACAGATGCCAGAGGGAATGTGACCAGAAGGGAACCCTACTGCATTGTTGATGGGAGTGTAAACTTGTTCAACCACTTTGGAAAG